ATGCATTATTAGAGTTGCAGTCAACGTTAGATGACGCTTATTTAATACATTTTCGAAATAAAATTTCTGTAATAAAAAAGAAAACGTATTAGTCAGTGCTAAAAGCAACTAAATTGGGAAAACAGATGAGCAGGCAGATGATGTTTCTCTTGTGGCCGAGCATCAAAATGCAAGCTGAGAATTGTGAGACGAGGTAAAATAAGGTAAATAATCCTTAAAATATTAAACCTCAGTTTCGTTCTATTAAACAATGCAAAACTATGTATGCACCATATTCAATTCAGAAACACGTCTCTTCTCTTGAAAACAATGACTGCCAGCATTTCGACAATAATTCGACCCATATTCCTCTGCTCAGCCTGCCATAAAAAGTAATAAATTAGGAGCACTTGATACAAACCGAATATCCGACTGTCTTTCAAAACGCTTAAGACCCGCGGCGGCAAACGGGTTAACGCTAGATTCACCGTGCACAAAAAAACAGCTGTTTCATATTAGTTTATTGAAGCCACAATTGCCGTATAAATTGACTAAATTAACGTATAAATTGAACAAATAACTCACGAATGTATCTTCACGATACGAACAATCGTAAATGAAAAAATTAGCGACCCGTCATTTCGACGGCTTCAACTCCATAAATCTATTATTGTTAAACGGTGCAGTTGATACGCACATTCCCAACGAATAATTGCAACGTTATGCACGATCTTCCTGCTTTTCGTTTAGCACTCTAGAGCAGCTATATGACGAGCGAGAGGCACAACAAGTGGCATCGCATCGGTAAAAGATCGACGACGCGGAACCCTCGAAACATATAAAAATCGATATAAAACGATATAAAAATCTAAAAATCAGTCCGCTTAGAGAACGAACCTCGAGATACGCTCTCGCCGGATCTACTTCGCGACATCGATGCCTTCGATTTTAACTACTGCACGCGAGAGACCGACAAGACCGATGTAAACGGCGTGCACCGGAAGCGAACTGTTGCATGGTGCAGAGACGACGAACGAATGAACCGGCAGCCGAACCACCTCGCTTCCAACTTCGCGGGGTGAGCTGACATCTTTTTCCTTTTCTTTTTTTGTCTAAACAACAGTCGACGGTTCGCGTTTTCTCGCGATGGGAAACAGCACGCGGCGGCGGCGGGATCCTTCGACTATAAGAAAGGAAATAACGCTTCGGCAAAAAGCCGGCGGTCGCACGGTTGCCTCGCATCGTGTAATTTCCGGGGATTCGGACGTGACAATTGTCATTGCGGAGGGTAACTTTACAATGCCGCGATCGAATCGATAGCCGGCAAGCTGTAATCACGACACTCGACGGTGACAACGGGGCGCGCGCCGCGATGTTTGGACTCGTTACTTATTCAAACGATGCTCGACGACGATTCTCGGCGGCGAACACACACACACGCGCGCATTCGTAAATTGCAGCGAATCAATTTGCGAGGGAAATCGCGGTAAGAAATCTTCGAAAGAGGCCGGCTCGCCGGCTTAGAAGCGATCCGGCTCTCGTCGACGATGGACAATCTCGGCGATCATCACTATACGGTGATCAGGGTGCACCTGTCGTGCGTCGGCCTGTGGCCGTACGATCGAACATGGTTCGCTTTCGCGAGAAGGATGTTCTACATATTGCTCATAGCGACCGCAATTGTGTTTCAAGTATGATAATAGAACGATTGTTATTTATCGATTCTGACACGGGTGACGGAAGCGTGGAGCAATTTCGTACGAGTTCGCGCGTTCGGACGACGCGAGGAGTAGCGACGGCGGTTCATCGATTTGATCGACGCGAGAACAATGGTTCGCGCGTGAACGCGCACTCGACGTGGAATATTTGCCTTCGTACCTTCGGAGAAATTGTTCAAACGTCTTTGACTTCGACGCGGAAATTTGGAGCAATGTCGCCTCGTTGATCGTATCTTGTGCACCAATCGCTCCGTTTCTAATGCGACAACACCGATCGAATTATGCGAATCACGTATGGAAGAGAATTTGTGTGTCTGCTGAAACGTTTTCTCTTTGTCGGTTGCAGGTGAAAGCGCTATTATATCATGAGAAATTGTACCATAATATTCAGGTCAACGCGCTGACGAATCTTATCTTCACTCTTATCGTTTTCATTAAACACATCGCATTTTTGTGGAACATCAAATACGTAAGTTGAAGTTCCATCGTTTAATTGGAGCGATATGTGTTTTTGTACCTTCTTTTATGCACAGTTTACGCTTCTTCTTTTGTTTCGGTGATTGTAAATATGTTCCGTTGAAAATGTAAAACGAAGATCGGTAATTGGAACGTGTTTATCGTTTGTATTGAGTTTATTGCGTTCGATAATTTGTGAAGAACAAAATGATCGCAAAATATCGATCTTGAAATGTTTTGCTTGCGATTAATGTGTGTATAAATAAATAATGTGTTATTGTTATATATTATTATATACGAACGCATTATTATTATTATTATTATTATTATTATTATGAATATATTAGGAATATTAGGAATATCAGGAGTAAATAATACATTATTTATTCCATTATATATAATACATTATTTATTCCGTTATAATAATAATAATAATACATTAATTATCATTTGACTCAAATAATATTTTTTCAATTTGTTTTTGCCCATTACGCTATTCGCGAAGATATATGAACTATAAAACTACAAATATTTGATCCGTCGATCGCAATAGGATGTCCGTCATTGATCCTAATTAGTAACAATCGAAACATATTCTTCCATTTTTTACGAT